CATCCACCCACTCTGTGGCATACTGTGGCCATTTACAATGAGAAATTAATACCGTGGTCTGCAGAGAAAAAGAGCAGACTGCAAAGTGCTGCACTCTAGAACGAGGGTTGGCAAACGTTTTCTGGAGATGGTCAGAGAGAAAGGCCTTTAGGCTTTGAAAGCCATATGGTCTCTGTCACAACTCCTCAAATCTGTCATGGCAGCCGGAAAACAGCCACACAGAGCATGTAAATAAATGAGCATGGCAGTGTTCCAACAAAACTTTATTTACAAAAACAGGTGGCACTTGACCAGCAGGCCACAGCTGGCCAACCCCTCCTGTGCAAATCATGCAAAAACTGTAAAAAAAGATGAAGAATGAAGCCGGATGCAGGGCCGCATGCCTGTAATCCTGACCACTCTAGAGGCTTAGGCAGAAAGGTCTCTTGAGCCCAGAATCCCTCCAGCCTGGGTGACAGGGCAAGATCCCATCTCTTAAATAAAAAAAAAAAAAAGGAAAAAAGTAGCATCATAGAGCAGTGAAATCATGGGTACATTTCTAAGATTTCAATTTCCTTAAAGTGGTATTAATATTTTTTTAAATTAGAGGCTTTTAAAGTTATATTTTAATTACAAATTAAAAGATTTCTTTTTTTTTTTTTTTTTTGAGACAGAGTCTTACTCAGTCACCCAGGCTGGAGCACAGTGGTATAATCTTGGTTCACTACAACCTCTGTCTACTGGGTTCAAGTGATTCTCCTGCCTCAGCCTCCCAAGTAGCTGGGATTACAGGTTTACGCCACCACACCCAGCTAATTTGTGCAGTTTTAGTAGAGACAGAGTTTCACCATGTTAGCCAGGCTGGTTTGGAACTCCTGAACTCAAGTGATCCACCTGTCTCAGCCTCCCAAAGTTCTGGGATTACAGGTGTGAGCCGCTGTGCTCAGCCTACAAATCAAAAGAGTTCATAGTTCTGTCAGACTTTCAGCATTCACATCACATGAGACAGAAAAGGTATAGACTCTGAGCTATGGACTGCATCTGACTTCTCATCTACTAGCTGTGTGACTCAGTCAAGTATATTCACCTCTCTGTTCCTCAGTTTCCTCATTTGTAAAATGAAGATGACAATGGCACCCACAAGCATGCAAAGGGCCTGGCACTGACTGAGCCTAGTGCACCGTAGGCCCTCAATGCAAAGAAGCCACCTCTCTGTCCCCAGCAGGCTGGATCCAGCTGGTCCTGAGTCTATGGCAGAAGGACAAGGCTGACTGTGAAACCTGGCATGCTTTACTTTCCAGTTAAAAAAAAAAAAACAAAAAACAATACCCTCGACAGTTTCCAGCTTCGGTTTACAAAAACAACATACAACCATTCAAACCTCGCTTTTAATTTCACAAATGGCACCCCAGCCTGAGAAACGGCAGGGCTCGCTTCCAATGGGAGTTCTTGGCGGGAGTGAATCTCAGAGCTGTACACATTGAACCCCTAGGGAGATCCGTGGCCCTGAACCCCTAGGGAGATCCGTGGCTCTGCAGTGCTTAGGCCCTTGGCTGGCAGAGCCAAATCCATGCCTGGCTCCAGAGGCTCAGGCACGAGGATGCTTCCATTTATTTTCCAGGAAATCTGCCAGTTTTGCAGGAGGCAGGGGGGACCAGAGTCCTATGTTGGCAGAAAGGAGCATCTAAAGGCTCAGAGTCAAAGGCTTTTCTGAATGAATGCCTCCCATGCCTCACAGCCTCTACCCAAGAAAGTCCAAGATGCTTAACAGGGTATTCAAAGTCCTTCTCCATCCATCTCTACAGCCTCAGCGCCCCCGACTTCCGGCCTCCTTTGCTTGCAGCAGGAGCCGCCTGTGGTTCCCTGTACACATCATTTCTCCCTTTGGTCTCTGCTCCTACTGGTCCCTCCACCCTTCTCTGCCTGACTACATTCACCCATCAGCTTTGGCATCACCGCCTCCAGAAAGCCTTCCAGGATTTTTCATAGTGTAGAAGACTGGGAACTAACATTCCTAAATACCCACCAGGTGTCAGATACCTTGTTAGGTGTTTGTACACATCAGCTCATTGAGTCCTCCCATCCACCATTAAATAGAATCTTTTTGTAGATAAAGTTAAGGTTAGATTCAAAGTGGTTAAGGAACCTGCCCAAGATCACACAGCAAGCAATCCTGCCCCCTGTTTCTCCCCCAGTCCCTCAGCAGAACCCAGAAGGTTTTAAACTGTCCTCATTCAGCTGGGGCTGCAGGATGATGTCCACCGAGACACCTAGAAGAGTCTGCTTCCTGTATCACTAACTTCTGTCGTTTTTTTTGAGATGGAGTTTCACTCTTGTTGCCCAGGCTGGAGTGCAATGGTGCGATCTTGGCTCACGGCAACCTTTACCTCCCAGGTTCAAGCAAGGCTCCTGCATCAGCCTCCCGAATAACTGGAATTACAGGCACCCACCACCATGCCCGACTAATTTTTTTATTTTTAGTACAGAGGGGGTTTCACCACGTTGGTCAAGCTGGTCTTGAACTCTTGACCTCAGGCGTGAACCACCATTGTAGGTGTGAACCAACATGCCTGGCCTACTTCCTGTTTTACAGAGAACCCTTAACACCTTTTCCCCAGAACCTTCACCTCCTTGGAATCCAAGGTCGATGGTTAACAGGCTGTGCAGGTTATAATTAGTACATGCTTGTTCCTGCCAGAACCTCAAGACGCCAGGTTTGCGATGTGCCTGTGAGAAGCCAGGCACCCAGCCTAAAAACTGCCTTTTGTCCTGCTGCCGTCTGTGGGTCCCTACATGAAGGGGCTACCTGCAGACTCGTAGATGTCCTCTTGAGTCCCCAGACCTCAGCACCAGCGGCCGCCCACAGCCAGGCAGCAGGGAGAAGCCGCCCTCTGGGACTCTGCTTTGGCCCTGCCACACTCAGCAGAAGGAGGCTGCCTTCCTCCTGGAGCTGGCCTGTGTCCGGGGCTGAGCTCCCCATCAGAACCAGAGAACAATGCCCCACTGTTGAGTGCAGTGCTTGGAAGCTGAGCAACCACCTTCATGATCCCCGCTGATCCTCTCCCTGAGAGCCCACGGGACGGCAGCCAGCCATTTTCACACCTTTTCCTCAGCAGCACCCTGGGTTGTCCCCAGCAGTCCCATAGCAGAGTCCCTGACCTTTCCTGCTGCTGCTACAGCTCCAAGGGCACCCACCCAACTGGCAGAAGCGGACGGTCAGCATATGAGCCCCATTCTTTGTACTCCCAGTGGGGGAGCAGGGGCAGCGAAGCAGGAGGGACACACGCTTGCTTCCCACACAAAATCCCGCCTGACTTTCCCAAATACATTTTCCCTCCTCTTAGACAATACTGGCTTTAATGAATTTCTCTAAAGGAACCGTTGGTCCACACACTTTGCATGAAAGGCAAATGCCACTGTGCCCAAGTTGACTATAGTACGACCCGGGGACAATGCATGCCTTCTGCCTCCACAGAATGGGCACCACATGTGCTGGGCCTCAGCGATGTCCCCTCTGTGGAGCTGGCGACTCCACCCTGGTCTGCAAGCAGTTGGCAGGGGCTCGGGTGACTCACCTTCTCCTTTGTATCCTCTGCGGAGCACATGCAACCTTCTGATATGTTTATTTGCTTGCCTGTTGACTAGATCCTTCTAGAATGTGAGTTCCATCAGCGCCAAGGCTTTACCAATCTTGTCCAGGACTCCTACCCCACTGCCCAGGACTGTGCCTGTCATCCAGGAGCTGGTGAGTGAGGGAAGGAACGGATCTTTGCTCCGTGTGTTCAGCTCCATTCATTCTCTCGGCACCTCCATGGGGTGTCCGGGCGCCGTGTACAGCAGAGGAAACACTAAGCTGGAGACCTGCCCTCGAGGAGCTCACAGCGCATGCAGGAGAACAATGCCTCCGCAAACAGGCCCGATTAGGGAGCTGAGTGAGGTTCAGTTCAGAGGGAACACGGCAGGGGTGGGAGAAACTCACTCAGAGGAAGGGCTGGGGAGGAGCAGTCGCAGAGGAGGAGACTTGAGCTGAAGGGACAGTGAAGGAGGTGGCCGCAGGAGGGAAGGGTGTGGGGGGAAGGAACAAGATGTGCAGAGCAGCAAAGCATGAATTAGCATCTGATACTTTGTCCCCAGCGGGGAAGAAATGAAGGTGGAAAGTCTCAAGCCTCAAGCCTCATTCATTCATCCAACAGCATTTACAAAACACTGTGGCCCAGAGCAGGCAGGGGTTGGCCCCAAGTCCAAGGAGATTTTCCGCCTTCACAGACTTTAGGGGGGCACACAGACCCTTGGAGGACAGCACAAGGGCTCTGGGAACACTGAGAAGGGGCAGTCTAATCTGAGGGCGTACCAAGGCTCAGGGGAGAGATGATCCCCCTTTACTCCTTCTACCAATGACCCGACCGCCCTGTGCACAGAGCAGCATGACTGACCTAGGATGACCAATTTATCCTGATTTGACGCACACCATCCAGGTTTTAACCTTGAAAGTCCCAAACCCCAGGAAACCTCTTAGTCTTGGGCAAACCAAGGACAGTTGATCACACCTACTTTCACCTTCATATCGCCTTCCAAGACCCCCAGACTGTCCCCCACTCTGCTGACACCCCACCCTCCCCCTCACGTTCCAGCCACTCACAGGGGCTGGGTTCCCAGAGCCTGTGTCCTCAGAACCAGCCAGGCTCACGAGCAGCCTTTCATCCAGGACAGGGAGGGAGACTTGCTCTGGGTTATGCACGGGACAGGCCTGTGTGTCCTGCCTTTAAGGCTCCTAATCACAGCTGCCACAGGCTCTCACATCCAGTCACTGTCTTCCTTGTCTGAGCTTTATCTCCCGAGGCCTCCGCAATCCAAGGACAGGCTTCCTCCCCCGCCCGTCTTTGCGCATTCAGAAGGAGACCCATTGTGGGTGCCCCACAAGCAAACAGGTGCCGAATGGAAGCAATGAGCAACTAATTAGGACACCGCCATCTCCACGTCACGGAAGGAAAACCAGCAGGTAAAACTGATCAGGCACTCACCTTTGGCATTCATTTCGCAAGGCCCTGAGGATTCCACTATTCAAAAGCAGCTACTCAGAATCTTGACTTCCAGAACCTTCTAGAGCCCTTTCCACTAGCTCTGCAGAGACTCAGAAACTACAGGACTCAGAAAAACTTAAAAGTCTTCCCCAGATGCTTGTTTCTAGGCTTCTAAAGTAGAGCTCCATGTTGAGCAGCGAGTTTCCACCAAAGACATTCACAGAAAACGGTCAGGCTGGTACCACTCTGAGCTCCTGGAGGTCTGAGCCCCAGCTTTAAGGCCCTCCAAAAATGTTGGTCTCCCCAAGAATCTGAGACACAGGGATGAGGAGTTACAAGAGCCCCAGCTTTCATGGGAAAGGTGCTAATGATTAAATTAATCCCATTAGCAAGCCTCTAGATAAAGTGGATTTAATCTACCCTCAAGTCCCTGCAAGGGCGACGCGCGGAAATGGCAGGATCCTGCCGCTCACACTGTTTGCTAGTTCTACCATTTATTATTAGCTTGTGACCTTGGAAATGCTCCTTCACTTCTCTGGGCCTCCCCTACCATGCAGGGTTAAGCATTGCCGTCCACCCTTGTACATAAGTCTCGAACTCTTTACCAGACATGAGAGAGTAATAGTGAACCTTCTTCAAGGGCATGCTATCTGCCAGGCACTGGGCTAAGTCTTACCAGGATTCTTTCATTAATGCAGTAGGTCCTACTATTCCTGCCTATTTACAGATGAAAGAACTGAGGCTCAGAGAGGCTAAGACACCTGCCCTAAGTCCCACAGCCAGGATACAACAAGTTTCCTCTGCTCTTAACCACTAGACCATTAATGTTTGCTAAACGAGCAAACAAATTAACACTAGGTTCTATTTTAAACAGTAGACACAAGATTGAAACTTGTTTCAGAACTACTTTCGTTTGTTTGTTTTTTGAGACAGGTCTCTCTGTTGCGCAGGCTGGGGTGCAGTGGTGTGATCACAGTTCTCTACAGCCTCGACCTTCCAGGCTCAAGCAATCCTCCTGCCTCCCACCTATTGAGTAGCTGAGACCACAGGCATGGGCCACCATGCTGGGCTAATTTTCTTACATTTTTTGTAGAGATGGGTCTCACCATGTTGCTTACGCTGCTCTCAGATTCCTGGGCTCAAGCAATCCTCCTGCCTCGGCCTCCCAAAGTGCTGGGTTTACACATGTGAGCCACAGCACCCAGTCAGAACTACATTTTTAAGAACTGAAATTATTAGAAGAGTGACTAGTTCAAATCTGCAAGGCCCATCCCCGACCTCAGAGAAGGCTTCTAGACAGGAGGTTGCAAACCACTGCTCACTGCCTGATTCTGTACAGCTCCTGAGCCAAGAATGTTTTTTAACATTTTTAAATGGTTAGAAAAACATCAAAAGAATATTTCGTGTCATATGAAAATTATATGAAACTCAGATTCCAGGGTCCACAAAGTTTTACTGGAACACAACCAACATCCCTTCATTTACATAGTATCTGTGTCTGCTTTCTTGATATGATGAAGAGCCAAAATATACTTACATATTTCCTTTCTGTTCTTTTACCAAAAGAGTTTGTTCTGGAAGCTTCAAGGCCAGTGCTATTTATCAGCCCAAGGGAACTACCTCACCCCACCCTCTGCCTATCAGCACAGCATTCTTCTGGGTCCGGAATCCTAGAAAATTCTATGCTAGTCCTTTCAGCAAACTGACACGGTCTGGATAGCCAGCTTTGCTGACAAGCAAAGGTTTCCAAATGCTGAGAATCGTGTCTTCATTGGAGCTTTTGCCCTGGAATTTGTCTCACTTACAGTCCTTTAGGGGGCCTTTGCCACTAAGCTGAGGTCCCCCCACAACGTCATTGTTGTTCTGCTGAAACCATCTCCCCACGTCCTCCAAGCAGTATCTGAATCATTGCTAGACTGGGTTCCACCCTCGCAGGGGCCCATGGTGTGAATCACTACATCAGCTAAAAGGTAATAGGAAGCCAGCACGGTGGCTCATGGCTGTAATTCCGGCACTTTGAGAGGCCAAGGAGGGAGGATCCCTTGAGCTCAGGAATTCGAGATCAGCCTCAATGACATAGAGAGACTTCACCTCTATTTAAAAAAAAAAAAAAAAAAAAAAAAGAGACAATAGGAGCCTCACACAATCACTCACCAAAGAAATACTCACTGGGCTGGCCACAGTGGCTCACGCCTGTAATCCCAGCACTTTGGGAGGCCGAGGCGGGTGGATCACGAAGTCAAGAGATCGAGACCATCCTGGTCAACATGGTGAAACCCGTCTCTACTAGAAATACAAAAAATTAGCTGGGCATGGTGGTGCGTGCCTGTAATCCCAGCTACTCAGGAGGCTGAGGCAGGAGAATTGCCTGAACCCAGGAGGTGGAGATTGTGGTGAGCCAAGATCGAGCCATTGCACTCCAGCCTGGGTAACAAGAGCGAAACTTCATCTCAAAAAAAAAAAAGAAAGACTCACTGGACAACTCTCCAGTGATAACAGGTAGGGGCCACTGGACACATGCAGAAAAAGCTGGCCAGGGCCAGGCAGGGCCTATTCATATCACGTTCTGTTCCTGTTTCCCTTCTGGGGAGCTTAAGACCTGGGGGCAGGGGCCCTATTTGATCTACAGAGTCCCAGCCTGGAAGGCAGCAGTGCTGGGTCCTGCCCTGGGACTCCGGGCACCTTGCTTCACTCCAAGGCTTGATTAGCCCAAGCACCAGCAAAGGAGCCAGGCTCTTGTGGGCACTAAGCCTGTAATGTTGCATTCACTGAGTTTATGTGGCAGTGCTGACCCCAGGAAAATGGCCCTGATTGCTGGATAGATTGCTTCTCAAGCTGCCCCTATGGTCTGGGGAAGGTGGAGCAAGAAGGCAAATGCATTGAAACGGAGATAATCTGGCTGCACTGTCCCTGGGGAGCTCTGAGTTAAGCTGCACTGGGAAGCCCTGCTATGCACACAGCCGCTCTCAAGTCCGCCAGTCCCACTCTCTGCCAGTCCAGGTGGCTGGTGCCAACAGTCCTGGGTTAGTGATCTCATTGGGCAGCCCTCAGATCTGTCAGAATGTTGGGCCCTAGAGGTCATCTAGTTCCGTGTCTTCACAGTGTGGCCATTTGTGCGTTACAGTCATGATTTTGACTATATCCGAGATGCAGACATATCCACTTTTTTTCTAATTAATTTTCTTTAATATGACCCATTTAAACTTGTTTATTTTAAAAGAAGACTTTTTCTTTTTACCTTTTTTCTTATATCTGGATTAAGAAATAAATGTTTACACAGGGCATGGTGGCTCATGCCTGTAACCTCAGCACTTTGGGAGGCCAAGGCAGGTGGATCACGAGGTCAGGACTTCAAGACCAGCCTGACCAACGTGGCGAAACCTCGTCTCTACTAAAAATACAAAACTTAGGTGGGCGTGGTGCTGCATGCCTGTAATCCCAGCTACTCAGAGGCTGAGGCAGGAGAATTGCTTGAATCGGGGAGGTAGGGGTTGCAGTGAGCCAAGATTGCACCACTGCACTCCAGCCTGGGAGACAGAGCAAGACTGTCTCAAAAACTAAAAAAAAGGAAGAAATATATTTTTACCTTAAATAAAAAACCAGGGTCAGGATCAATTGCCATGTGTCATAAAGTAATGAACATAAACAAGGTTTAACTCTATCTGGATAATGTTGCTAGTTTACACGTGGGGCCTGCTCACTGTTAGGGAGCTGTTAAACACAGATTAGCACCTCACTGAGATGTTCTCCTGGACTACATCCAGGGGTTCTCCATCATCCCAGTGCATCAGGATCACCTGGGAAGCTTTAAAAAGCTACAGATAAGCAGCCCCACATCCAGAGACCTCTCTAAGTAATTGGTCCAGGGTGGAGCCCAGGTCTCTATGAAAAGGTCATCTAATCAGAACAATTAAAAGAAAAGGAAAAAAAAAGAGATGAAGGGGAGATGAAGAGGGAGTGGCTGTCATTCAGTGCCCTGGGCTTGTGCCACCAAATTTATCCTGGCAATTACCAGTAGCCCCTAGTCCAAATTCACTGAGATCTGACCTGGTCTAAGCCCCTCCGCTGTATTGAGAGGACCTAGAGGCTCAGGGCTGGGAATGAGACAGCAGGGCCTGCTACGGTGATTACTTTTTTATCCACAGTTAATTTCATAAAAGAAAAAAGTCACATTGGCCAATTGCAGATGGCTGGTGCCCTGGGCAGGCAATGAATGGTCAAGGTAAGTGGTCTGCCCCCTGTATACCTCTAAAGGGGGACATTGTCCACATGGATGTAGGCTTGGCTGGGTCAACTCCGGCCCATCATGCCTTCCTAGATCTGCTAGGGCACGGGCATTAGCCAGCAACACCCGAGCCAAGGGCTGACCAACCGCAGCTGTGCCCTGTCCAACTCACTGCACGTGCTGGGGGCAGAGGCAGGCAGAAGTGCTGAGTTCCCTTCCAATGATCTGCATAATGGCAAAGTCACCTCCCTGGCTAGGGAGCACCCAAGGAAAAGAGGGAGCGCTTGGAGAGGCTGGGAAGTGAATCTGTGGGAACTGGCGTGACCCAGCACCTTCTGCTTGCTGGGAATCCCACATCTGTTATCTCATCTCCGACTCACAGTGACTGCAGGGAAGGTGCAGCCAGCCTCATCTTACAGGTGTGATACCCAGGTCCATGGAGGTTATGTGACTTGCCATAGGTGACAAAATCAGGGTCCCAGCTCAGATTGGGGGGATTCCGCCTGAGGCCTAGGAGCAGAGAAAAACTCCATCAAAGTCAAAAGTGGAACTCCCTTTGCACAGATGGCGCTAGTGATACCTTGCTCTGCTGGCTAAACTAACATTAGTGATGGGCCCTGACCTCCGCGGGCTGGGCTGCGGTTCACAACTTATGCTCACACACCCAGCAAGGCAAGTAGTGTGCACCTGTGCACCCACTTTACAGGGAAGAGAGTTGAGACCCAGAAAGATTGTGCCTTTGGACAAAATAAAAGTGTCCTTCCTGGTGCCCCTCCCAGCCCCTTGAGCTTCCCTCTCATGGAGTCACATCCCCTAGGATGGGGCTGTTTAAAGCACACACCTCACCCACCGCATGCCTCCCATAGGGCAGGGCCATGTCTCTGCAGTCTTCCTAGTTTGTGTCCACCTCAGCCAATGTGAGTACATTGAAGAAACGCCACTGCCCAAGGCACAGGTTACAAAGCGGAAGGGCCCAGGTCCCAGCCGCAAACACGTGCTTCTTTGGCTCCCAAACCAAAGTGGGCTCCAGCTAAACCCTGCAGCTTCCTGCAGGAGAGCCAGACAGGAACTTCTGGGGCCATCCTCTCATCCCCTCCAAGCAGCACATTAGCAAGTGAAGACTGTGGCCAGAAGAGCCTCGATCCCCCTCCCTGGACATTTGGGTGGTTTTACCCAGAGGGAAGTGAGACAAGAGATGCCACAGATGGAATTTTTTAAATAATCAATTTTTTAAAATTATGCCTGAGCAAACTTGAGCTTGAAATCAGCAAACAGATAAATAGGCAAATCACGGAAGGCAGGCCTGCTCCCTGCCTGGTGCTGGCTAAATGACAGAGATTAACCTGGCAATGCCAACTGGCTCACACCCAACCCTGCAGCCACTGGCTTGTGGTCACCAAGTTCTCAACAGTTAGTGAACAAGTGGTGGCCGGGGTTCCCTAGGACAAAAAGGTGTGGTCAGAGAAGACAGGGTGGCTTGCTCCGGGGCGGGCCCCAGCTCTGGAAAACCTTTGGCATTCTTAGCTCATGTGAAACTGGTCCCACAGGAAGGATTTCCTTTGAGGAATGGCCTGGCAGTGTGAGAGCCACTGGGGGCTGTGGAGAAAGAGCCAGAGGCCTGGTTAGGAGGCTGAGTGACTCACCACTTCCACCCACAGCACTCCCGGCACGGAAGGGCCAGTGCAGCCTGGTAGTCACCTGCCAGAACTGTGGGATCAGGACACCTGGGTTCAATTTCCAAGTCCACTGCTAGCTGAGGTAGCTGAAGGTGGATTACTTAACCTCTCAGCCAAATGGAAATAACATCAGAGCATCCTTCGTTGGGCTGTTGGGAGGATGAAGAGAGAAAAGGCAGAGAGCACTTAGACATTCAGTAAGTACTAGACCGCTAGGAGCTGTAAGGATGAACCATGCAGGAATCATAGATGGCACCCAACGTGCTCCATCGTCCACTCATACATTCATTCATTCATTCTAGAAGTACATACAGTATTGAGCAGCTTTGATGGCTGGGCTCTGGACGGACAATTCCTGGCCTTATCTTCTTCTAGAGTTTATTATTGACAGACAATAAGCTCAGCTGCAAATAATTAACACAAATAATTTCAGGTGACAGGACAGAGCATGTGGGCAGGATGGGATGGGTGCCACTGCGTGGGCAGGAATGTCCCTCTGAGGCTGTGGCTGTGAGCTGAGGTTCCGACAAAGAGAGGGTGCAGCCAGTGGGGGGCACTTTTTAGGAAGAGGACAGAGCAAGAAGCCACACTAGAGGAAGGAAAACTTGGCATGTGCAAGGGAGAGAACATCAAATGTGAGTCCCAGGGACGCCAAGAGAGAGATATCTGCAAGGTTCCACGGTCAACCCCCAGAGAACCCAGGAGAATGGAGAGTTCTCCAAGAGGACAGTCCCCTGAAGGGGGCCACAAAGGGAGATGATGCATATTGCACCTTCTCTCCCCAGCCTCAGGCCATGGCTCCAGAGCTCACTTTTTTCCTGTGTCCTGGAAATATTGGGATCTGCCCTTCATATTTCATTCAAGAGAGCTCTGAGCACACCTAATGTTTGTAAGATCCTACTTTAAAGCCTTTTAATTTAATAATAGTAATCATAATAATAGCGCCCTCTCTCTGGGTTGGGAGCAGAAATGTGAGGATGAATAACCCTGTGTCCAGCCCTCAAGGAGGTCACAGGCTAGTGGGGAATCACTCTTGAAACTGTTGATTAGGAGGTGGTTGAGGAGGGCTTCCAGGAGGAGGTGATGTCTAGCCAGGTGTTGGTGGGAAAGGGTAGGGAGGAGAGCTGGGCAGGGGGACGGCTTGAGCACAGGTGTCAGGTGAGAAGGGTCAGGATGAGCTAAGGGC